TATAACAAATCACAACAAACAAAATTCTCAGAACAAAAAATTTAACATTTTTATGTACTACAATCACAAATACAACACAACTCATAGCTTCAAAATCTCAGAAATGTAGTAAAACATGGATACTTGCATAATATAGAAAACGAGAAAGCACAATGTATATAACACCGTAAATAATAAGGAAATATGGTAAGAAACACGTTTACAAATCTAAACCTAAACAGTTCAGCAAAAATTTTCTAAAAATGGAAATTTAATGTTGTTCCCACCAACTTCGTTAAAAACTTGATACAGTTAAAATGTTATGAAACACTGACAATCCACGTAATTATAAGTGTCGATCAAGTGGTATACAAATTTGAGTCTTCGTATTGATCCCATGAGGATCGAGTTAAATTTCAAAATTGGGAAAAGTTTTAGTTTACTGGTTGTATCTAGCCTTAAATGGTTGAGCTTTAGTGAATTTTTGAAAATGTCTAAACCTAATTTTTGCAAAATCCAATCCTTAAGAGATTAATATGAGAGGTTCTATTATGTGAAGCTTTCTCCCTTGATTTAGATTCTAGAAACCTTGGATTAACCATGTGACAAAGTTAAATATGAGATTCAGGAACAATTCTTCTATTTAACTCCAACCAGTGGTCTAAGGAAGATTGCAATTTACACTTTAGTTCCCTAACTTTGTAATTTTTCTCAGAACACTGTATTCCTTCTCATGATTACTTTAACCTAGAAGTAATATTCCTATTCTCCTAAGTTAATGTGTGTTTACCTAGTTGTTCTACTACGATTCATTTTGAAATCCAAAGTTCACAACAAACTTTAACAAAATAACAGGTCGGGTTGAGTGCAAATGAAGCGGAAAATTTTAACACAAAAATTCACAAGCAATTCCAAATCAGTCACATCGACAAAAGTTAAGCCCCAGGCTTTCCAATCACCAAGTTAGAGTAGAAAATGCGAATTTGTTACTATGCACGTTTTAAAACAAGAAATTCCACATTATATTGATCAAAGCGAAATAGAATACTAGAGTTGGAATGAAAAAAGATCAGAACAACTAAGTGCCACTCTGAGTCCAGTCCTCCCACTAAGAACAATGAAGAACACCTACAGAGATATTCTCTCAAAATCCCCTTGCAACTTTTTATGCACTCAGCCTCACAATTCTCTCAGACCCTCGTGCTCACTCACAGAGTTTTCACTTTTTTTCCCCAACAGAGAGTGCCCTTTTGCCCTAAAAAATCCATCATTTGTAGCCACGAGATGCCATGTGGATAAAAAACTGCTTTAACTCCTTACATCGGTTGGTTGGCGCTTGAGTTCCTACCTGAAGTGCCAGACTCCTCATCGTTCTGTCGTCTCATATATTGTTAGGCGCCAGATTGCCCATAATTGACTCCTTGATGCTGCTTGCTCGGCACTCTGCTTACACTGCATAGGGTGTAGGCGCCTTGATGCCTCCTAAGGTGATGCCTTGGTGTCACTAGTGCACGCCTTGGTGTTGATCCCATGAGTTGGAGTCTGCTTGCCATGCATAAGGGATGAACTTTTCTACCTCTTATAGTGGTGCCTTGGTGTTGATCTGACTAGTTGGAGTGACATGAAAAGCCAAGGTGAAGTGCATATGTGTCGTTTGGGAGGCACTAGGTGCATTTGGAATGGAATTGGGTAGGGGTTTAAGTGAGCCAAGCCATCTCGTGAGCCGGCTCGGGTTCGACTCGATAAGTGACTCATAAACTGATCTCGATGAGCTAACAAGCCTAGCTTAAGCCAGCCCTGATTCGACTCGTTAGTTAATGAGCCAGCTTGATTAAAAATTAATTAATAAAAATATACTTAAAATATATTAAAATTAAAAAAAAATCTTTAATTATTAAAAATGTTAAAAAAAAAATATTTTTTATTTTATATCAAGTGATTTCTTATTAATTATCTCTTAAATGTCAATTCTATTTGTCATTTCATTATAAAAATAGCTTAAATTAATATGTTTCTCTTTAATGCTAAACAATCTAGCACATGAGCCAGCTTAAGCTCTTTGATTTAAGCGCGAGCTCGAGCTCTAACTTGATTAATTAATCAAGCTCAATCTGAGGGTGGCTCAAGCTCAACTCGACTCGGTTTCACCTCTGGAATTGAGGTACCTCCCTTGTGTTAGCTCCTATACATGATTAGTATATCATTAAGTGCTCATCAATGCCTGTAACACGCAATTACACGGAAAAATACCTGGAAAATCACAAATAGGGTACAAATGGTAAAATAAAATGCAAGAACTATAGACTAACATGTCACACATTTTAGACAGATCAAGTTCGTAGTATCAAATCAATGGAAGAACGGATGCATCAATTATATGGGTTTAGCTGCAAATAAGATCTTTATACCATTCATCTATTCTTCGGTGAACAAGCAAGCTATTGCATAATTTTATAAATTCTATTGCTCAGCTGTTGAGTTTAAACCGTAGCAATGTTCTTAATATGGTCTGACAATGAAAACCAGATAAAATTAAGATGATCTCGAGCAATACTTGTATCGACGGACTCAATACAAATTCTATAACTTGTAATAGTATCCATGCTCATGTAATGTCATGGGACGTCCGGATTGCTTTAGTAAGATAGTTAATGTCATGGTGTTCCAGCGCTTTTAAGCAGTGATATTATACAATACTTTATAAGATAAATAAAAGCCCATAATTATTTATTTCATATGTTGTATTCTCAACGAACTGAAATTTGCTGAGTTGGGAATTGAGAAAAGAATGGTTGAAGCATCCATTTTGATTTATCTTCAAAGCGTTTTAGGATGTATCTTGTGATTCTTCTTGAATTATCAAGAGTTTTGTAATTCGTTTTAACTTGTCAGAAGTTTTATTTAACGTCATAGTTTATGAATATTTGAACATTGAGAGTCTTAACCTTGATAATTTTGTTGTCATAATTTGTCTACAGATAGGACCATATTTAGCCATGACTTTGTTGTTCCTTTTTTTTATGAGTTTAAGATCTTCATTCTGAGAATCTTCAGGATGTTCTTTACTTTCCTTTATTGATGGATTTCTTAAAGTTCTTCAATTTTGGATACCCAATCCTTTATTTCCTCCTAATACTCTCATTTTCTTTCATCTTTTAAAAGACTCCTTTTACTTTTGGATTTTTTTTTTTACTTTTTTCCGATGATCACTGCTTCTGAACTTCAATCTTGACCATGCAAGTGTGTGTGTGTGTTTTTTTTTTCCTTCTCTGAAAACTCTTAATTCTTCAAGTTTGGCGGCTTGGAACAACTTTGTTGAAAACAAATATTCCACATATTCATCCTATCTTCAAATCTTTTCAGCTTCTCAATCATCATCAGAAGCAGAGTATTATATATCTTCTCTAAATGTTATTTTATTGTGAGAGAACTTTGTTGCTTTGATGGCTTTTATGCTGAACTAATTTAGATGACAAGGGGAATAATGGAAATTGATTATTGTAAGGGTAGCTTTTCATGACGGTTGTAGTTCCCATATTTCATGCAGATATGTTTTCCCTATTGTTAATTATTTCAGTGGCAACTGTAGTGGTTGCTTTGAAGTTGATAACCTTCTGTATTTCTTAAAATACAGCCGGCGATTCTACTTAGTGCTGTTGTGCTTGAACATGTTCTCTTCTTATACTGGTGTATTATGATTTTTTATTTACTTGAACGTTGAAAAATTAAGCAAAGAAATATTCTCATACTGTCATTTCTTTTTAGGGACATTTACATACATAACGCACGAATCTACTTTATTTACTTTTCTTACGCTAGAACTTGCATAGTTTTTGCAGTCTTTAATATCACATCAAATTTAACACGATTATCACATTTTAAAAGTGAAATACACCTTTCCATGCATAGGTTTAAAGCGCCAAAATGCTATGTATGTAAATATGAAAGTTTAGACGTGAGATATGTAAATACATAAGGATTGTTTATTAAATGCTAGTGTGCAAATTACTTCTTTTTTTCTCACATACTGCCACTTTTGTTGGATAAATATTTAAATTTCTCCTATTTTTTTTTATTGAAAATCTATGAGTTTAAATTTTAAAATTCCCACCCCCCCTACTATTCATGTGCGGTCAATTTGTATCAGAGCATCACATTTCTCCATTAAATCGCTTGAATATATAAAATTGATTAAAAATGGTCCATAATATGAAATTTATGGTACAAAAATGATCCTAATTTAGCCCCTCAAACTATAAAAAATTGATCTCAATTTAAATATGTAAATACATAAGAATTGTTTACTAAATGCTAGTGTGCAAATTACTTCTTTTTTTCTCACATACTGCCACTTTTGTTGGACAAATATTTAAATTTCTCCTATTTTTTATTGAAAATCTATGAGTTTAAATTTTAAAATTGCTGCGGTCAATTTATATCAGAGTATCACATTTCTCCATTAAATCGCTTGAATATATAAAATTGATTAAAAATGGTCCATAATATGAAATTTATGGTACAAAAATGATCCTAATTTAGCCCCTCAAACTATAAAAAATTGATCTCAATTTAAATATGTAAATACATAAGAATTGTTTACTAAATGCTAGTGTGCAAATTACTTCTTTTTTTCTCACATACTGCCACTTTTGTTGGACAAATATTTAAATTTCTCCTATTTTTTATTGAAAATCTATGAGTTTAAATTTTAAAATTGCTGCGGTCAATTTATATCAGAGTATCACATTTCTCCATTAAATCGCTTGAATATATAAAATTGATTAAAAATGGTCCATAATATAAAATTTTTGGTACAAAAATGATCCTAATTTAGCCCCTCAAACTATAAAAAATTGATCTCAATTTAACTCTAGAGGGATCATTTTAGTTTAATTTTGTATAATCAAGGGACTAAACTGAAAAATTCCGCATGAATACTTTGGGAATTACTTCAGAGTTTAACCCAAGGTTTATATTTTACTCTCATGAGCAAAGTGTTGAACTCTGCCTCCAATTCTTAGGTAGAGAGATCCGCATATGGGCAAACCAAAGAAAAAAGAGGTTGGAAATCCTTCTACAACATCAGAACAGCCGCAGCCTGAAAAAAAGAAAGGCAAATCACTAAAAGCTTCAAAAAAAATTGTGAAAAATGCTTCAAAGCGAAAAAGTGAAATATCTGAGAAATTGAACACCGAGGATAGCAAAACTGTGAAGGACATCACTAATAAAGTTGATGAGAGCACTCAGGTGAATGAATATAGTGAAGCAACTGCCAAAGAAACACAAGCAAACACCAACGAAACGTTTGGTGGGTTGATATTCATGTGCAATGGTAGAACCAAACATGATTGCTTTCATTACAAGGTTTTGGGCCTTCCAGAACATAGAAAAGATTTAGTGTTGCGTGTTAAGCCTGGTATGAGACTCTTCCTGTATGATTTTGATTTAAAACTTTTATATGGCATCTTCAAAGCATCATCATGTGGAGGGATGAAACTTGAGCCTGCAGCTTTCAACGGTTTATACTCTGCACAGGTTGTATTCTCTCATTTTCATTTTTCATCTTTCTATGTATAAGTTAGGTAGTGCCTTAGGAGTGTAACTGACTCAAGCCGACTCGTTAGCTGGCCTGGGCTCGATTCGATAAGTGATCGTGAATTAAGGTTGATGAGCTAACAAACCAAGCTCAAGCCAAACCCGACTTGACTGATTAACTTTTGAGAGATATTAATATAAGATGTACTTAAAATATATTAAAATTTGAGACTTTACCTTTTAATTACTAAAAATGCTTAAAAATGATATTTAATATTTTATATCAAGTGATTTTTTGTTATTTTTTTTCTAGATTGCACATTATATTTGTTATTTCATTACAGCACTGGCTTCAATTAATGTTATTTTATTCTTTAATAATAAATATTGGCTAAAATCTATGAATTAAGCTTGAGCTTGAACTCGAGTAATTAATCAAGCTCAAGTTTAAACTGAGGTGGCTCGAGCTTGACTTGACTTGTTTACACCCCTATTGGCAATACATGCGCTTTTACCTTCTGTGTTTTGATAACAGGATTGCAGGATGGATTTTTCGTTCAATCGTACGTGTTTTTAAGACTAATGGGAATCAATTAACATCAATATAGGTGCGTTATGAGATCGAACGTGCTTGTGCGCCCCTTCCACAACACATCTTCAAGCATGCCATTAAGGAAAATTACACTGGCATCCGAAACATGTTCAAAACAGAACTATCTGCTCAGCAAGTGAGTACTTGTTTAACGAGTTAAAGACAAATCACATGATATCTTTATTTATGTTGCAACATATCTCAACAATTGTTCTTAGCTTTTTTTGTTTGTTCCTGCTTTGCACTACCTTTTGAATTTTTTTCGTGATTTCTTATTGTACATTGTCCAGCTGCCTATTTATCATTGCCATCTTGATTTTTGTTACAGCTTCCAGCTAGCAAGTGCAACTTTTGGTGTTAGTTAATTTAATCTGCTAGCATGGAATAACACTTAACCTGAACATTTAATTCATTTATTGTGATTCTAGTACATATTTGTTTCAGAAGAAATTTTAAGGGAATGCGAAGAGTGAGACCAATGCAGGAGCCGCGGATTCCCACAGTTACTACAATCGTGGGTTGGATCAGACAGGAATCCCATCCTGTGATACATCCCTTACGGGATTTGTCTGCCCTTTTATCATTTCTGTTGAATTTTTTTACCTATCTTCATTGCTTCGTTTCCTTTTCTTCTAATTAGGGTTTAGTTTAATTATTAGGATAGATATCATATGTAAAAACTGATTTAGCAGATTTTTTATTATTGTTACCGTATCTTTGAATTTCTTTCAAGTGACGTGTTTGTAGCCTGATAGCATCAAAATGATGATCTCTCTTAGACGTTTTGTTTATAGCCTGATAGAATCAAAATGGTGATCTTTCTCGGACGTTGGAAGGCCTCCTTCATCGTCCAATTTGCTATTTGCTGCTGTTTGACACAGAAAATAGCTGTTTTTTTTGCTTCCGATTTGTGGTCTTTTGGTCGTTCAAGCCGGATTTTCTTGCCTACCCAACAAATTACTTACCCTTTTATTGTGTTCTTTCACACCTTCTAGGTGCTCTAGAAAGGTATATTAGAGTCTAGTTTGCCCTAGGTTATTTAAGATTTTTGTCTTTTTTGTTCAAATCCAAAATTCCAAAAAAAATTTACCATTTCAAAGTTATTACTATTGTAATTTCTAGCTTGAATCCTAAATTTTTAAAATCCGATCTTCCCACCTTCACCAAAATTTCAGACCTACACCTACTCCTAAAATCTAAGCCCTCGCCTTACCTTGAATTGCAATCCCATGTTCGTCAAAAACTTTGAATGAGAGAGTGTGACATAATGTTGCCTAGGAAAAATCTACAGAGTTGTCCATTAGCTTTTTAGGGAGCATATGGAACTAGAAGTTCTCCAAATTTAACAATGGTTTGCCTCCTTTGAGAGGAGGTAATCCGGTGAGGTCATTCACAATGATGACTCACTGGGTCAATTGGAGGAAGTGAATCTCTTATGGCAGGAAGTTTCTAGAGATGAATAAATGATGCCACAACGATTTGACATTGAATATATGAGAAGCCATGATGTCGGATTGAAGATTGACTTACCAAATTTTGACGACCACATAGATCTGGACAAGTTTAACGAGTGGCTTTATACAGTAGAATGAGTCTTGGTGTATGAGGATATTTCACTTGACAAGAAGGTCAAGCAAATCGCTACTAAGCTAAGGAAGAATGCTTATTTTTGATGGGAGAACCTCAACTTGTTCAACAATAAAAAGAGGAGTAAAATTACTATCTAGTCCAAAAGATGAAACAAGCGATGCAATGCAAGTATTTACCAGTGCATTACTGACAAGATATGTTCTCGAGGCTTCATCACTTACAACAACAAGAGATGTTGGAGTGAAATTGACATATCGATTTTAACAGCAGCATAGATCAGGTTAAGTTTATCGAGTGGTTTTCTGACACTATAATGGATTTTTAATTATAAGAATATTCGACTTGACAAAAAGATCAAGCTAATCACTACTAAGCTAGGAAAGAATGCTTATTTATGGTGGAAGAACTCAAGCTTCTTCAATAACGGGAAGGGAATATAATTATCATCTAGTCTAAGGTGAAACAAGAGATGCAATGCAAGTTTCTACCAACTTATTAGAAACAAGGTATATTCTTGAAGCTTCATCACTTACAATAGCAAGATCTCTCGGTATAGGAGTACATCGCTGAGTTAGGCAGCTTATGTTGAAGTGTCGGCTAGTGAAGCTCGAGAATACCTTAGCTCGATATATGAGAGGATCGAGACCTTCTGTTGACAATGTGGTTTAGTTATAGCCCTATTGGACATTACATCATATTCAAACCCTAGCTTCAAAGGTAGAGAAACATCACCGGGTAACCGCCACACTTCATAGACATAATTCAACCCAGGATCAAACAAAAGTAGTACACTTAGCAGAACTTCCAAGCTAACATTGTTTGAGAAAAAAATTAGTTTAAAGTGGAGAAAAAATGGAGACAAAATAACACTCTCAAATTTGTCCCACCTTGGGCACATTAATTATGATTGTCCAAACAGTGGGGTGACCTCTTTCATTGAGCAGAGAACAATTGAAGAAATGGACAGTGACACGGGAGAAGATAATGACGTTAGAGAGAAGTTTTAATCTCTAGCTAACGAGGGAGAGGTTGTAGTGATTCAAGCTTGAGCCTAAATGAGAGATCACAATGGGATTAACATTGATTGTAATAGAAAATAGTGAGTCAAAGGAGCAGATACCTGAAAAGGAACAAGCTCTTGTTAAAGGAGTTACTATATATCATGATTGACCATTTACCTTCTATGTAGCTGCCACTGGCGGTGGTCTAGTATGCCATAGGGTTCATTCCATGCTTTATTTCTACAGGCATACTTGTTTATCAGATACGCCCAGCCAAGTAGGAGGAGTGGAAGATACAAGTTGTAGATTTAATTGCTTGAGGCTTCGTTCGTGGGAGCACTAGCCCAGATGCAGTTCTAGTTTTGGTTGTACCAAAAAATGATGGTTACTTATTTTATCAGGACAACATTTGAAATGATAAGTGTGTTTCAGAGTTTTCTGTGTTTCAGAGTTGTTTGGAATGAGCTTGGGCATAGATTTTGCAATAGAGTTGCCTCTAACACAACAATACAATAACTTTATCATAGTTGTGGTAGATCTATTCTAGAAGCTTCCTGGGATGAGGATGATGCTCTTGCTCTGTAAGAATTACGCGCGAGCCAAGGACCCGTGGAATTGCGGATTTTTGCAATTAGGATGGGAATCCCTTCCCATGATACTTCTCTTACGGGATTTTTCCTCCCTATTAGCAAATTAACTGGATTTTTTTTCCTTTTATGCATTATTTTCTTTCATTTTCTTCTAATTAGGGTTTAATTTAATTATTAGTATAAATATGATATTTAAAGCAGATTTAGCAGATTTTCCATTATTGATATGTTATTTAGAGAAGTTTTTCCTGGTATTTTTATTGGAGCGTGATATATTTAGATTTCTTTCAAGTGGTTTGTTTGTAGCCTGATAGGATCAAAGTGGTAATCTCTCCTTCGTCATCTAATTTACTGCCTACTGCTCCTTGACAGCAGAAAACTTCTGTTTTCCGCTTTTTGATTCTCTAACACAACAATACAATAACTTTATCATAGTTGTGGTAGATCTATTCTAGAAGCTTCCTGGGATGAGGATGATGCTCTTGCTCTGTAAGAATTACGCGCGAGCCAAGGACCCGTGGAATTGCGGATTTTTGCAATTAGGATGGGAATCCCTTCCCATGATACTTCTCTTACGGGATTTTTCCTCCCTATTAGCAAATTAACTGGATTTTTTTTCCTTTTATGCATTATTTTCTTTCATTTTCTTCTAATTAGGGTTTAATTTAATTGTTAGTATAAATATGATATTTAAAGCAGATTTAGCAGATTTTTCATTATTGATATGTTATTTAGAGAAGTTTTTCCTGGTATTTTTATTGGAGCGTGATATATTTAGATTTCTTTCAAGTGGTTTGTTTGTAACCTGATAGGATCAAAGTGGTGATCTCTCCTTCGTCATCCAATTTACTGCCTACTGCTCCTTGACAGCAGAAAACTTCTGTTTTCCGCTTTTGATTCTCTTTCATCCCGCCGTTAATGCCGGATTTCAACCAACATCCATCCTCCCATTTTTCTGACCTATCATTCAACTTACCCACCCCTTTCTTGTATACTTTCGCACCGTCTAGGAGCTCTAAAACGATATCATGCTCACAACATTTCTGAACAATCTTGCTGAGCTTTTTTGTTTGCCCTTCAAGCCTGCTTCGCACCAAGTTTTGATTTTTTTTTTTAATTTTTCTCGCCCTTTCTCATAGTGTGCTGACCGGATGCCTATCATTGCCATCTTGATTTTTCGTTTCAGAATCCAGCTAGCAATTGCAACTAGTAACCTGAACAGTTGATTCATTTGTTGTGATTCTATTACATATTTTATTCAGGAGAAGTTATAAGGGAAAGCGAAGAGTGTGACCTGTTTTCCTTGTATTTTTCATTTTATTTTTTGTTGAATCGTTAGAAATTTTGTGGAATTACAAGTGGTTTCAGAGAAAAGAATTGAGACAAAGAAATGAGTTCACCTCACCTTTTATATAACAATTTCAAAATGATTTTTCTTAACTCATTTCTTTCTAGTTCGTTTTCCGTTATGCGTGGCAATTTCAACTCTCATTTTCCAACCAAATGGCAATCATCCAATCATACGAACCTACATATCCAATTTTGTATGAAGGTTTACTAACTCGTCTTAATCTCCATTTTTAAGGTAAAGGAGCTCATCAAGTTATTCCCATCTTTACCCCCGCACCAATCAATCTTCAACATGGATGCTCCTGTTCGCAAGCCGGTCCAGGTTCTTACCCGAGTCCCTGCTCCTGCTCCAATGCCCGGGCCAGTCCAGTTTGTAGCCCGAGCGCCTGCTCCTGCTCCTGCTCCCACTCCCACTCCCACTCCCATGCCCGGGCCAGTCCAGTTTGTTGCCCGAGTCCCTGCTCCTCCTCCCATGCCCGAGCCAGTTCAAGTTCTTGCCCCAGCCCCAGCCCCAGCCCCTGCTCCAGTCGCAGTATTATGGCCCTCAATGCTTCCATTGGACGGTCCTGTCCCGGTACAGAGAGAGATTGTCGCTCCGATCAACACCCTCCAACTCGATCCTCGGTCTTTGATCGAGCAAGACTATATAAATTTGGGTTTAAATCCAAACCATTTCTCAGTGCCTCATGGAAATGTTCCAGAAATCTACACTCATCCTTATGGGTCTGCAGGACCTTATGAAACCAAAGCAGACTATCTGAATGATCCCTCCCGGCGTAGGCTGGATGAGGTTGGTTTTAGTTTGAGGCCATTAGCGCACCCTCAACCAGCTCCTCATGTCAGATTACTGCCCACTTCTGGGGATGCAAGGCTTGGCGAAATGCATCTGGTTCATGCTCCAATAACATTATCTGGTTATAGCGAGAGGAATTCACAACCAGTCTCGTCGCGATATACTTTTGCAGGCCCGTCGATGTCACAGAAGCATGGACGTGCACTGTGAGAAGATTAGGGAGTGAGCAGCCATTTGGGGTGATTTCCTTGCATTTTTTAGCTTTCTTGTTGGTATTTACTAATGTTTTCTCATACTTGAAGATGTTAGGTTGTTTAAGATGTATCTGTTGTTCTATTTGTATGTTTTTGTTTGTTATGATTTTGTTCTGTGAATTATCACTCAGCAACCATTGTTGGTGTCCAAGATATTATGCAATTCTCCACCCCCCCCCTACC